GCAGCTTTCGATGACTCAGGCATTAGCACAGTGAATGAGCAAATGATCTGAACTCCATTGATACCGAGAGACTTTTTTCTGCTCTGCATAGTGATTTTGTAGTGTCTGTGTGGTATACTCAGTACTGCAATGTGTTTGCAGTCAACCGAATGGAAATTATTGACGTACATCGATTCTGGGGTCTATTCTCTACCATTAGTGATGAAAACGCCGCGTAAGTAATTGAAGCGGTAATTGAAAAATTCACACTGCCAGATGTTGAAAGGCCTTACCCAGAAATATGTTGCCCTGAAAATTGATGCAGAGTGGAAAATACCTAGATTTTGGTGGTTGTAATGGGCGTCGGTATTGATATATGAACTTATCCCAAAAAAATGTGTTGCCTTATAATAAACGTAATGAAAACTGTTCGAAGGATATATGTACACATTGAACAACTGAAATAGTGATGGAACTTAGAATTTAGTTTAGACCAGAGTGGAAATAAAATGGTTAAAAACAGTATTCCCAGGAATGCTTAGGAAATGAAGCTCTTCAGCCAATGAGAAGTTTGAGTACGATGTAACTCGTGGAGATGTACGGCATCACCAATGAATTCCTCCTTAGACAGATCTTTGGCTTTACCTCCTCAGGCAGGTCTTCATTTCCATTCTTTAAAAAGTGTTGTTTCTGTTTGTGTTTACTTCATTCTATTGTCTTGGTTTCCATTAATAAATGGAGTCTTATGGGTTTCAATTAATCATGCCTACGATTTTTAGCTGGGCTTCAAAAATTTGCTGCTTGCGTAGTACTCGACAATTCATCTCGACTCTTATGATTCATGCCGGATAAGGGGATAATTTGTTCTTCGCTGTCCTGTCATGACTTAAGTGCAGTATTCATATTTATCACAAGCTATTTAAGGAACTTTATAATTCAAAGCATATGTTCCTCCCTAATATAATTCACTAATATACAGCATATGCACTTGTTCATTGGAGTAAATTTGTATTTTTTCTTTTTCTAATTCATGTGAAATGGCTTTTACATATCCTTCATCTCTACCACACTGAATATTTGAGTAGAAAAAGAGTTACAAAATGTTTATTTTGACACTAATGTCCCTTCTTTCATTACTAAAGAACGTAAACATACCAATTCATGCACCGTCTGCCACTCCCTTCGTGTCATATTTATTTCTTATTAAGAGACTGTTATTAATTAATTAATAATTAAGTAATTAAATTAATAAATAAATAAATAAATTAATTAATGCACACTGTCCGTTCAGTGACCCGTTGTAAATACAGTTTTCATTCTCTTGAAAAATCATTTTCTAATTGTTTCTTTAGAAGTGTTATCTAACTGCAAATGTTTACATTGAGTTAGAGAACTCAAGCGTTTCTGCAGCATATCTGTTTCTTTGTTCCTCCAGGTTCCCAATATGCACACCAAAACCACCATAGACGCGTGCAAATAACTTGACAAGGCAAACATTGCATTAAAAATGTTCGAAATATTGTGTTCACCATCCCTAATAGCGGCAATTTCCATACATTTTGAGCGAGGCCTGTTTGCATGCGAAGGCGGAGCTGGAGTGAGAACCACGCGGGCTCCGTTCCCCACGTGAACGACCTGCTCATTGTTCTCCGTTTGCTCGCTCCGCAGTGGTGGTGGCCGGCAACTTCACCGACGGCGACGCCGCGGTGGCGGCGGGCGGCGGCGGCGCCGGCAGC